TATGCATAATATTCAATAAATAATTCATAAGATACATATTTGTAATATATACTGTATGACATGTTACACATATATATATGCATACCACATATGTACACTATATATATATATATATATATATATATATATAGCATAACAATATATCTTACATATGATAGATACGGTATATGTGTATAACTCCAATTTCTAATTCCCTCCTGAACTTTAACCCCGTATACTCATCTACCTTACTGGCATTTCTATGTAGGGAGTGTAGGCCCAACTCCTGTACGTAGTAATTCTACGATGTACTCATAGTTATTTAGCTAAATATTTTGCTGAATAATTCATTAACCTTGTTGAGCTCCATATTCTTCAACTCTTATAGAAGACTATAGTGGCAATCAGCCCAGAGGATTAACATGGGTGTTAACTGAGATTATGCATGTGACACACTCAGGAATGCAGCTCACAAACTGGTCTCAAGAAATGTAGAGGTAGTAAATATAGTTACGATGGTGTAAATCTAAAGGTTATCTGACTCAGGAAGCCACTTTGTAAATTAGCATTTTACTGAACCAGATTTAAGCTACACTTGGAGAAACATCAGTTTAGAAACCTGGAATCACTTACAATTCTGCCACCTTAGGTTCAGGGGAGCCTGAATTCTAATAATCTCGTTCCTGAAAATCTTGTCTCTGCCCACATTTATACATCAAGTCATATTTCTTCACTGATTTACCTAATAGTTTCTTTATCTCCATTTATTATGAATTCTAATACATAGTGAAACATAAATTTCAAGTTTCTTTATGGTAGTGCTTTTCAATTCATGATGGCTTTCAAAGATAGGAATTTAGGTTGTCTACTCTGTATATGCCTGTATTGATTTAGTATGTTTATTGGACTGATTTATAAAAGTAGTTATTAAATTTTAGCATTTCTCAAATCACCTGAAGTAGGATAAGGGAAAGTGCATATTAAAATAAATATGCACAGGCTTCCTAGATGAAGTCCTGGCAAGGCCCGGGAATCTGCATTTTAACAAGTAACGTACTTCAGGTACAGTTAGTCGATTGGTCAGACTTGGAACCATTCAGCCTCAGAAAATTTTTCTAAATCTTTCACTTTTTAGATGAGAGGTGATATGACTTGTCCAAAACCGTGACTGAACTCAAACTTAGCTGGGACTCTCATCCAGCCATAGTCCAATGGTCTCCCAGGAAACTAGAGCTCATAATTCATGTGCTTGATGTTCATGCACGTGCATCTCAAGCAACAGATGCTCCTGAGACTGGTGGGTGGAGAGACAGAACCCGTAGCCTCCCTACAGCCTCTGCAGGTTCCCAGTCAAAAACTCTGGACTAGGGAGTTAGGGATAGCACAAAGGGGATGTCCTGAAATTCAGGAGCTCTCACATGGGCCACCTCCCTCTACCTTGCAGAGAGTTGGAAGTGTTAGATACTTGAGGAGTTCATTTTATTAGTTTATTCCTTAAACAGCAATACATTTCATAATGAAAAACTTTAAAAAGGAAGGAAGAGGCATGAGAAAAAAGGAAAAGAAACCTCCAAGTGTGATAGAAAAGACAATAATTTTGCATTGGAATGATGGATGACAAGATCAGTACAGAGGACCCGTCAGAATGCAGTGTGGTTCTGTGGGTGGCTTTCGTGTTTCGGAAGAGTTGTGGTCATATTTCACATCACATAACAAGAAAAATTTCAAATACTAAAAAGGCAACTGAAATAGAAGAAAACAGGAGAGAATTATTTTGTAAGTTTAAAGGGGGGATGTTTGAATTATGATTTAAAATTCAAAATGCATAAAAATGATTAGGGTATTTGGCTACAAAAAAATTAAATCTGTGTGGAGAAAATATCAGCAAATTCAAAAGATAAAGAAAAGCTGGGGAAGATATTTGTAATCACATCACAAAATGAAAGCTTCATCCCTCTAATAAGTAAACTAATCAGAAAAAAACAACTTATCAATAGAAAACAATGAAACTTGTCAAAAAACAGATTAGGAGAAACGAATACAGGAAAATGTGTTTGAAATTACTGATAATAAAGAGTGCAAGTTAAAATACATGCCAGCACACTTGTTACCTCAACAAAAGGTAGAAGGGAGGTAGTTTATACACTTTGTTGGCAAAGATTTATGGGAAATGGGCTCTCATATATTGCTATAGCAAATATGTAGTTCCTTTGGAGGGAATTTGTCATTATCTGTGAAAATGACAATTATGTGTAGGCCTTGACCCTTTATTCAGGATATTTTATTTCATACTACATGAAGCATGTTTGCAATAGCAAAAGACTATGCATCTATTAATAGGAAACTGACTAATATAGCACAGTACATTTACACAGTGGAAGGTTATGGATTGATCCAGAAAGATCTGGAAGAATACGTTGGTCCAGCTAGAGAGCGATGTGGCTACTAAGCAGGGAGAGAGCTAGACAGCAAGGAACAATGAAGACATCCCTGTTCATCTTGTTACACACTTTTTGATTTTGGAATCATATATATGTATTATCTAGTCAAAATTTAATTTAATTTACTTAAGTAACCAGGATCCTGTTAACATGCGTGGCTTCCCCAACACTAACCTTACCAAAACTGAAACTGTAAGACCAACCTCTACTATGCTTTCACCCCTAAGGGTTATTCTAAATTATTTCTTGAAGAAAGGCTCAAACCTCATTATCTCTAGTTTCTGAGTGTAAAATAGCATTGCAAAGCATCATCCACATGAGAGACTGAGTATGGAGTAGACCACCATTTGCCCAAATGTCCTAAGATGGATACCATAATTATTAATACAGAAACTAACTTGTGTAATACATAGCCAGGAATGGATTCCATTTCTCTGATCCTTTTGGAGGGATATTATGTATAGGGAAAAAAGGAAACAGGAAAAAAGTAACCCATTTTGAGTTCTGGGTGACCAAGTGCGTGAAGAGGGAGGTAATCAGCCTTCAATCACCGTTTCCATTACATTGTCATCGCTATTACAGTGGGGGTCTGTCCAAAGCAACAATACAGACATGGATTAAAAGACCGAATGGAAACAAATGAAAACCCTACACCTCTGGCTAAGATGGAAAATTAGAAAAAATCTGTCTTTTCTGGTATTTACTCCAGTTAACCATATGCAGCATCTATGACCCAGCAACTCCAACCACTGATTTACACCAAGAAGAATACACTCACTTACACAGCATAATAACGTGTGTGAGAATGTCCTTAGAAGCACTACTCGTAATACCCCAAAACACAACATTACCCAAGTGTTCATCAACATCAGAAGAGACAGATAAATTTGTGGCTTATTCCAACCATGAAATTCTCTACCACGATGGGGATGACAGAACTGGAATTACATGCAATAATCTCATACACAGAATGTTGACCCTAAGAAGACAAACAAAAAAGAGAACAAATGGTATTTTATTTATATGTTGAAATAGCAGCCAAAAAGAATCATTGGTTTTAGAAAGTGAGGATGGTTAGTAGAAGAAGATATGGAGGATGTCCCTGGGATTAGGAACCTGGATGATCATTTCCTACAAAGCCATCTTAATATCTGCAATATTTGCATTTTTGTTATGCTTTAATTTAAAAGCTAAAAAATATTCCTAGTCAGAATGAGCAATGTCGGAATTCATTTTGGATAAGCCATAGGCTTAACCTCCAAATAAGTGCTCTCCTAGGCCCTGTTGAGATACCAAAGAGATTCCAGCAGAGGTTGAAAGGATAAAATGCTCTCAGCCAAAGTTCCTGAGGGATTATGCAGAGTCCAGCCTGGGTTGTCCAGGAGGGTCCCTCGTTCCCCAGCCACACAAAGCAAGCAGCACAGCCTTTGCAACCGGCCTGTGGAACAGCCAGCACAAAGGGGGTTATTACTGAGTGTAAGAGCACAGTTGCGGTCATGTGTCAGGGTCACATATCCCTGACAACTGAAATTCCCATGGAAGTTAATTTTCTGGATGGTCAAAATCACTCTCATTAAAAAACTCCTTTGTTAAAAACAAAATAATTTTCATAGAATCCTTTCTAAATTATATTTTACAAGTTCCTGACCTTTTTAGATCCATGGACCAGAATTTAACCTATACAACAAACAACAACACTAACGATTAGGTCATCTGTGTGCCAGGCACTGTCAAAAGTACTTTCCATCAAATTCTCTCTTTCAGTTCTCACAAAGTATTTATGAAATTGCTCCTATTCTTCCTGTTTTATGTGTGAGGCTTAAGATGATTAAAGAACTGCCCGAGGTCACATAGAGAGGCAGAGTACACACACTCTCCATATCCTCAGCTCAGGACCACTGGATTGTGTTTTCCCTCCAAATTTACTGATGATTGACGGAGTGCATGCTACACTCTATGTGCCAATGAGTAGATAAGAACACTAACTGTACCTTTAGGGAGGTGGCTTGAATTCCTATTTCCCTCTCTCTAGTTTCTTGCTTTTTTAATTGTTTCCCTCCAGTGCCAGGGGTTGATCCCAGGGTTTTGCACAAAGCACTGGACAAGTGCTCTATCACTGAGCTGAACACTCAACCCACTTCATCAATATTACAACTGTTTCCCATAAAACTGTTTTTAGTATGCTACATTTACTACCCACCCACCAAGAAAACTCTTCCCTAAAATCTGATTCTTAAAAATTCTTGTTTAAATATCTTTAAACTCTCACTTTTTAGGTCTATTTGGCTAAAATATCCTGTGGAATTGGGCCAGCTTCTTTATCAGTTTAAGAAACCTCTCTGGTTCTCTGCATTTCCAAAGGCCTGTGGATTGCTTTTTTTTTTTTTTTTTTTTTTAACACAACTCACGGAAGCTCCTCAGATTAACAAAAACAGCCCTCCACTGGAGTCCATCTGGCCTGCAGCCATTCTCCAGAATAATACAGCAGCAGCAGAGATAAGCACCAAGCCATGCAGAGTCAATTTTGACAAGGTTTATCAGCTAACAGGACTGCCAAGCACAAGGAACTACAGTCCTTACCCTGTTTTCAAACTGACCAATGCATCCTCCACTCCCTTCTGATTAAATCTGGTCATGTACTGATGCATGTAGGGGTAATTATTCCGAATGTTCCTCTCTGTGCTTCCGTTAGGTACCGTCCCAAAGCGAAAAGGCGGGGAATAGTCATGAGGTCTCTGAAACTGAAGAGAGGGAAAGAAGACAAGAGAAGAGGAGAAGGAAGAGGGGAGAGAGAAAGAAGAAATTAGCTATGATTTTATTACTTGTCAGGAGTTAAACATGCATTCATTCATGTAGGACAGTTTAAAAACACAATTTTGTGCTTTGTACATAATCACATCATTCATTGGCCCGCGAATGCCAGTAAATTGGGAATAGTGTGTATTTTTAGTAGTGTCCCTTGGTTCCTAGCGCAGGACCTAGCTTTGTGCTCAGTAGATATTTTCTGGGGTGAATTTTTACATGCTGTCAGAGATACAAGCACACAATCATTTTATGGAAATGGTAAGCAGGAATTAATGTACTTTAGGCCAGTTCATTTATATGCTTTATGAAGAAGTTTCCTGTGAACCACCACTTTTTCTGAATATTATTTACAATTACCTTTGCGCCCACCAGAAAATGACTCTATGTTGCCATTCAATTATCCTGCACTCACGGGCTTCTCTGTTCATTCCCACAAGCAATACTCTTGAGTGTCTTGCTTACTCCAGGCAGAATGCCTGACCCGCAGCAGGCTCTGTGACTATCTGCAACGCTGAACCCCTATTGATCCATTAGCTTCCTGGGGATGTCCAGGTCTCGGTCTTTTTTTGAGCTTTCACAAAGCATGTTGTCTATGTATCGTGTCACCCCTGATTGATGGATATTATCTGTATCACCCCTCAGGAAAACTAGGGTGTTTAGCACCGTGTCCTTAAAAAACCTTCCCAGTAGTCCCCAGACTCCTCCCATGACAAGAGCACATTGTCAGGATGTCACAAGATGAGGTCCAAGGAGGTCCTCCAAGAGGAAATGGGGACCTTAACTCATTTCATCCATGGGGTAGGTTGTAGGTCCACTGAGTTATGCCTCAGGGAGAAAAAAATCGCAGGACACATCAGTGAGAAGCATTAGAAAGGTTTATTAGGCAAAACCCCCAAATATACTCAGAGAACATAAAGTTTCAGCCCTCAAGATAAAGGTGTATTGTGATCTGGGAATGGGGATTTTTATGTGGTCTTGAAGATGTCCTCAAGAAGGGTGACCTAGGATGTGTATCCTTACAGTCTGTCAGCTCATCCATTTGGTTCTAGGCTGGACTGCAAACCATTCACCTGTGTTTGGAATTCAGAACTATGCTATCCACTTAATACCACTTAATACTGCTTTCTTAAAGATGGAGGTCTGTGACAAGAAACGCTTACTAGGTGAAAAGCATGGGCTCAAATTTACAGATTTATTGGGTCTTCAAGACCCCTAAGAATTTTTTTAGTAAGTTCCCTAGAAGGAAAAATTACATTGTAAATTTGGGTAATTTATGTCATGAAACTGGAGCTTTTCTTAAAAGCACAATTTTTAAATTACAACTTTTAAAAGGAAATCTCCTGCACTGTTGGTGAGAGTTTAGATTGGTACAACCACTGTGGAGGTCAGTCTGGAGATTCCTCAAAAAGCTGGGATTGGAAGTCCCATTTGACCCAGCTATTCCACTTCTGAGCATATTCCCGGAAGAACTGAAAACATCATACCACAGTGATATATATGCACCCATGTTTATAGCAGCACAATTTGTAATAGCCAGATCTTGGAAACAACCTAAGTGTCCATCAACTGAAGAATGGATAAAAAAGTTGTGGTATTTTTATACAATGGAATACTCCTCAGATATAAAGAATGATCACATTGAAATATTTATAAATAAATGGATGAGACCATACTCATAAGTGAAATAAATCAAATCACATGTATAAATACCATATAGTTTCCCTAGTGTAAGAAATGGTAAGAGTACATAAGATTTTATGGTAATCATGGTTCCCCATTATATTGCTTTGAAATCTTGTAATATTTTCATTCACTGGTTAGAATGGTTTTATTCTGTTTTGTCTGATTTTATTATGTGTGATGGTATAAACAGCTACTTGGAAAAAAAACAAGACATTATAGCAGCCATTGCTGATTTAATATCATCTTGCTTTTAAGTTCTACTATGCTTTAATTCTTCTGTGTCCATTGGTTCTACCATATTGTGTCTTACTGGATTTTAATATGTGTGATAGTATAAACAAATTTTTAGGGAAAATGAGATATTATAGTAGCCATTGTTCATTATCAGTTATTTGATTTTGAATGTCCTGTAATACCTTCATTCTCTTTAATGGCTTTATACTATTTTGTTATGTATGATACTATTGTGTGTGAAGATATGCTCAACTATTTCAAAGAAAAGAGACATTATGGTAGCTTCTGTTGATATTCAGTTATCTTGTCGTGAAGTGCCGGGTTGCTTGCATTGTTGTGTTCTGATTTGCTTTGCTCGGTTCTCTTTTGTTTTATTGTCTTTAAAATAAAATTTTAAAAAAAATTTTAAAAACTTTTGTTGTCTGCCTGTTTTTACCACCTATCTTTACTTCTTCCATCCTATCTCAAGTGGAGAGGAAGCAGGCAATTGCAATAAGTATTATCTGAGGGATACTGAGAGCTGGATAAACAGTGTAATCTGTAGAATCAGGCTTCCTGCTTGTGTGCTAAATCAGCAGTTCTTTGGAATGCTGGTTATACAACAGGAAAAAGCCAGCTAATGGTGTCACTGCTTATGAAGCCCAATCTGTACTATCCGCCTCTTTGTAATAAATAGGTATGTATCAGAGCAGTGTGGACTCCTACAGCCCAGCCAGCTCCATTGGATACTATGAGTTCCCCCAGGCTTACCCACTGCCCCCAGACCTTCTGGTGACTGACTAGCCCAGCCCCTTGTCAGTAGACAATCCATGTAGCTCTTGGTGACTTCTTATCCAGCTCACTGCCTCAGACGCTGTCTTTTTCTGCTAGCAAGTGTTAAATAACCCTATCTCCCACAAACCCTCTCTCCAAAGAGAGCCCCCAGAAATATAACCGAAACCTAGAGACACCATCAGAGGTGCTGAGTGTGTGCTCAGATTTGCTGGTTGGAAAGCCAAACTGTCATTTACAAACTACGCCACCTTAGACAAGTCACTTGACTACACACTACACGCTACACGCGGTGGCTCTTAAAAGTACTTCCCCTTTAGGGTCACTGGGAAGAAAAAGACACTTGGAAAGTAATTGGAATAGTTCCTGGAACCAAATAGAAGCTCAAAGATAGAATTTTTATCACTTTTTCTTTTCATGATTATTGCAGGAAAAAGATAATGAAATTTGGAATTCTGAAACTAAAAATCAATGATAATTATGACTGGGACTTTTTGAAGACTTAGTTGGAGAAAACTTTGTGCCAAGTGATTAATCCTTATAACAGCCGTGCTTGGTGGCTAATCTTAGAAGCTTCATTTTACAGATTAGGAAACTGAGGCTCAACCTACTAAAAAGTAGTGGTCCAAATTCAAACCTAGACACGCTTGACCACAGCCTAAGGTCTTAATTCTATCATTCACCAGAAATTACCACTAGTGTCTCATTCCTTGGATAGAGATGGGGACCTGAAGATCAAGACATGAAGAAGATGTCCGGCATATTGATGCTAGAGCCTAAAATATGCAAAGTTCTCTCTAAGTTCCAATCCAGCATGCCTTCCACAGCATCAAGAACAATTAGAGAAGGCATTCAAGTGTGCCCAAGCCAGAGCAACCAAAAGCATCATTATTTTCTTTACACTTAGATTTCATTTCACTGTGAATTAAAATTTTGTGTTTTAAACTGTTTTCCTTGCATTAGCCATGCTGCTGCCTAATAAAGAGGCCATAACTGGATTTGGAAGAAGTAGCTGTCTATTGTCCTAATGAGATTCTCCTTCCGAAACACATTTTGCTGTGTGTGTGTGTGTGTGTGTGTGTGTGTGTGTGTGTGTGTGTGTCTGTGTCTGTGTGTGTGTGTGTCTGTGTGTCTGTCTCTGTGTGTGTATACAGCAAAATGCTCTTCACAGTCACTCAGCCCCGCAACATCCTCACTCATCACCCAAATTGAAAGCAAAGCCCAGGCTTATTTTCAGGCAGCTGCCTGCTCTGGGGAACAGTGGTAATAGCACTATTCATAAATCTCACATTTTAGCAGCCACTGCTGATCTCCAGAGACACCTAGAGACAGCCTATTTGACTAAATGCCTCCCTCTTCATTCCCCATCTGTTGCTGAGGAACGATACAGCTCTTTTAAGATTTGCTTCCTTCCTCGCCTCTGATTTGCACAGTGATAGGGACATGCCTACACTTCTCTGGCATTGATATTTCATCCCTTGCACAATATTGAGTCCAAGGTCACATTCAGAACCTTGTCCACTAGAACTAAAATTGCCAAAGTTTGAGAGTATCACTCACAATACACTTCTCCTTACCATGCTGTACACACACACACACACACACACACACACACACACACCTTTCACAAAATTCACTCTTTCTACATATGACGTACTCTCATGTTATCCCTTATGCTCTATTTTTTTTTCATGATGATAGCCCTCAAATTAATGTCATGGTTCACTAAAAGGTCGTGATCTACAGTGTGGAAAGTTAGGAGCAAGGATGGCTCATCTCTGATCTCCAGATCTACACTGAAGACACTGCACATTTCCTACAGGTATGATTTCCAGTGCAGCTTTCTCCCAGAGCATTGCGAGTACAACTAGAGAGGAACACATGGGTTTTAGCAAAGGAAGAGGCAATGCCCAGGTTCCCACCATCAGGAGGGCCATGAAGCAACATCATCACAAGGCTGAGAGTCCAGAGATCTCACAGCTTCTCTCAAGGGTGCCCTAGTTGGCTCTTAAGTGTAGGGAAGTCACAGTGAGCTGTTCATTCCCAACTTACAAAGTGCATAATGTGGGGGCGGCCCACTAAGCTCTCTGTGCCTCAGTTTCTATATCCTGTAAACTTGGATTCATTTTTGCAATAATATTCGGAAAAGCACCTGGCATCTTCTACAGTTCACATGCATCACAATACATATTACATTTTAATTACACATATATTATTCTTGGGAATCTGTCATCACTAATAGTAGCTG